AAGAAGACCCAAGGCAGAGCAAAGAGCTGCTGTTCTACTTAGCAGCCATTGGTACAGTATCACAAAGAGAGAGAGAGGAAAAAAAAAACCCACAAACAAACAAATAAAACCCAGCTTGGTTTGGGGAAGGTGGGGAAAGAATTTAGTACCTTCTTTCTAGGTTATACTCAAATCAATCCATATTTAAAACTCTTACAGCCCAAGTTTCTAATGTCATTGACCTGCCTCCTGCTTTTGTAAGCTTCCCAACTAGGAACATAAGGAAAAAGGACCTACTGCTTTTCATTTAGTTAAGATTTTATGAACTGGAAAGCCAAGAGTCTCTGTGCACTTGACTGTATACAGCTATCTATTTCTGTAGTTTGGCAAGCTTCAAAATTTTTGATCAGAGAGCTCCATACTAAGGCTTAAGAGTTGATCCCCGTAAGACCTTTAAAGGCCATACTACTTAGTTTCTGAAGAAGTTCCAATCTACACTATAAAACAATGATAATCTTGCAAGTCCAAGGCAGAAGGCTCTTTTTTCTTCCCCCCCCCCCCCCCCAGAGAAAGAAGCTCAATCTTGTTAGTTACTGCTAGGAAGAGCTGACATACCTAACACAGGTCCTTTTGATACGGAAGTTACAAAACAAACACATACCATATGTTTGCGTATTTTTCTATGGGCAAAAGAAGGTTCAGGTTCCTCCCTCCACCACCACCACCCTGGCAGCACAAACACAAGCGCTAAATTAAGACCTCTTTCAAGATGATACTTTTATACAATATATTGGATATATTTTTTCTTTCCCAATTGAACAAACCAATTTTCTGCTTTGTCAAAGTCAAGTAATAATGGGTATTTTAAAGCAGACGTACCGACATGAAAAAAAAAATGAATCAAAAAGAAACAGTTTTACTCCTTTTCTGAAGCCAGTTTGTCACTTAGGTTTTATGTGTGAAAGCCTACTAAATCACAGGTTCACATGGTTTTAAGCTAGGTTAAAAGGCACTGCTGTAGGAACAAATACTGGCAAGAGAACCCAAAAACCAGATCCATTAAAATCAGCATGCCCAAAATTTGAAGTTCAGGTGATATTACTATCTCTGCAGAAAAAAAAAAAAAAAAAATCTATGGTAGCCCCACTCAGGGAATAGCATGACCCCATAGCATCTAAGCAATGGAAAGCTTAAGCAGAATGCTTTGGCTTCCTGATTTTTTTTCCTCTAAAGTTCAATAAACATTGCTATGCATCTCAAAGGTCCCAGCTTATTTCTGCTTGACTTGTGTTAACTCTACAGCTGCAATAGGTAGGATTTTTCTTCTTGTTCAGAGTTTATCATACTTTAGTCCTATGCAAGCCTCTTATTTCTTTGCATCACACGCAAGCTTCCCTCCATTGCCTCAGAGTGGCATGTGTCTTTCTGCCTGCTGAAAGAGGAAAATACTTTCTTGGTCCCCACCCCTTCTTTAACCAGCTCTTACATTCACTTGTGAATCCTCCTGCACAGGACTTCTGTTTCCATCCCTGCGCAACCTTGCTCTAACAAATGTCTTTTCAGAACTTATCCTTGAGCAGAAGATACACAGAATACTTCCTCCTGCTTGAGTATTTTGTTAAAGGATAATCTTGAAGCATTCAGTCACTGAGGACACTATCAAGCTACTTCCATTGCATTTATTTTTTTAAACCACCTAAGGTTTCACAGATACAATGAAACAGGAAGCTTTCACAGGGAGTCACTAGATTTAGTGATATTGCATATGTGTTTACATTAAAAACAAAATAAAATAAACCCTACCAAATTCTACCTGGTTCAGATCAGGAACCTTAAGTCTTATTAACAAACCCCATAAAACAGAAATATTTGGCATCACTTTAAGAAGTGGGAAAGTTAATTTTGAGTTTAAACGATAGGCACTACTTAAAATGTTGAGACCCTTCTGAACTTCCACTGGTCCTGAGGTAGCATGAAGCCTGGACAGCCACAGCACCTCACTTGCTGCCAACACTTCACAGCATATTACCTCTTCATCTAGAGAACCTCCAATCCAGAGACCAAGCAGTTAGCAGGTCCTTATACATGACTAGTAGGGCTCAGGGATGGGGACCTCCAGAAAGTACCAACTGGGTACTTACCAGCCCTTTCTCAATGTGAAAGCAGGGAGAGAGAAGAAACAAGAGGAGCTGTCACAAGAACTCCTGACATATAGATCAAAGCCTTTGAAAAGCCTTTGCCCTGACAGCTCTACCCATCCTAATATTTAAGTGCATTCAGGCCAAACAAATACACAATTTATACCAACTCTGTGAAGTTACTCAAAGAGAAGGGAAGTCAGCATGTGGAAACATGTTCAAGTTGGTGGGAGAGAAAATGGACAAAAAAAGCCACACACCACAGAAACAAAGCAACCAAAACGCCACACAATTTCAATGCAGTCAGTTTAACACTGCATTTAACTTTTCTTTTTGGGTGGTGGTATATGTCATCTCTACATCTCCTAAACATCTCCCAAGCTCTACATGATCATTCCTCATGTCTGTTTTATCTAGTGCATACCAAGAGTACACAGAAAAAGCTGGCATCCCCTTCATCTCGTAGTGAGGCAAGAGCTTCAGCAAAACATTTGACTCGGACATTCCGGGGCATAAGGCCGACAATAAACTTTCCTCACAGTATACCAGCAAAGCCACCCTTCCCCTCCCCACAAACAAAAAAAACCAAACACACAACAACAAAAAACAATAGAGTGCAAAGCATACAGGCAAAAGAAAAAGAACATTAGGAACTGTCTGTTCTGCTACAAGGTACTCTTTAAAAAAATATATATCTGTAAACAGTAAGCTGTGTGCTTACTGTGCTACAGATGAGGCCTAAGATCAACTCTTAAGTGATTTTTTTCCCTCCTCATTGCAGCATTAGTTGTTATCAGCCATGGATGCTTTCTGTTAGGGAAGTTTTTCTGTTTTGTTTTCGTGTTTTTTTTAAGAAATCTGATGTGCAGGATGTATAAGAAGCTGCATCTAATTCCAAACTTCTTCAAATAGTAGAGTAGAAAGGAAGTATTTTTTCTGCTTAAGTTAGTTTCAAAAATGTTGGGGGCTAAGTCAATGTCATAGCATTTCTAACCTAAGTTAAGGTCATAGCTAAGTATATGTCATAGCACATATCAGTGTTCCAGTATAGTAGGAAAAGCATT